TTTTCTTTAGCTGATTTATTATTTTTCTTTAGCTAAGTTATCACCAAATTTTAAAAATAATTTTCATATCATTTTTTCTATACATACATATTTAAGCATATTCTTATTTGCCTGAAGAAATCTTTAATTTGTTATTGGTTTTTTTAGTCAACTGCCCTTTAACAGAGGATACAAAATAGAGTATGAAAAACTACCCAAAAGAAAGTACCAGGGATGAGTAATAAACTCAATTTTTTGCCTCAATTCCACACTCGACTGTGGAGTCTCAATAAAGCTTTCGAGATGTGTTGCACTGTGATGACCATTACCGAACAACCAATCAGAACATTTGACTTTGAGAATCATACAACGTTAAGTTTTCTATATTTCACATAAAGACTAACTTTGCATGACTAACTTGGACTACAAAGGTTGAGTAACCTGTGACCATCAGCTCTTTGTCTCATCGAGTCGATCCACATAAGCGGTTATATTATATAGATGTCATCTCCCTCTTACAACATTTTTCCTGTTTTCAAATATCTAATAATTATACTTTGTCACCTTCATCTCTGTTTCCAGGGACCCCTCGTACTTTTGAGCCACCATTTTGGCTGAAAAAACAACGGTTATCAACAATATGAATGTGAGAGGTCATGCTGAGCACTTGCTCGACCCACTTAAGTTTTTATGTAATCAACGTCGACTTCAAAATAAAGAAGAATGGAACACATATAGGTTGCTGCCAATTAATCGTTATTAATTCCAAGAAACTGGAAAACATATAGAGAATGAGTAAAGCTTACAGAAATGGAAAAACGTATCGCATATGGTAAGAGTCATGTTCTCTTACACAGAACCTCTCCGTTATTTCCTTATCCTAAAAAACAACACACGAAAGAACCCATTAATGCTTGCAGAAATTTTGATAAAGATACGGCGAAGTATATTCAGAAGTTCTGTAATAATAAAGCTTGTGCACAATAGCGAGACGGTTATGATGACCAAGAATCATCTTGTCTGCAAAAAAACTAAATCAAGCCAAACTGAAAAGTATATAAGAGACAGATTCTGTAATGTTTCTCAAATTCAAAGAAGAAAATGAGAGAACTCTCAAAACCAGTAACAGTTACGGAGACTTCGTTGCAAGATAGAGAGAAAGCAATGAGAGGAGAAATTTATAAAGCAAAAGAGAGTATTAAAGATTTAGTCAACAGATAAAAGCAACAGTGAGAAATTTATAAAGCAGCGGGGAAATAGTATATAATCCAGAATTTCTGGAGCTGAACAAATCAACCCAAATTCACAGTGAAACTCATGAAAAGCAATCCGTGACTAATCAAAGGGTTAGTCCAGCTGTTGGCGATAAACTCAGACGTAAGAAAGAGTTCAATTTAAAGGAGTATTCCATTATGTTCAATTGAGTTAAGCAAAATATGAACATAGACTAAAACAGAATCATACATAGGATCTCTGCTTCTCTGGTGCAATTCCCCATCTACAGTATACAAATGGAGAAAAAGAATCAATGAAGAGGTAAATAATGAGAACTAACATGGTGAGTCTATGATAGGAGACTTGTTGTCTGAGCGTGAGTCGCATCGGGGACAATTTTTCCGGCGTACTGTTGGCATGGGCTTCATCCGCGAAGGGAAGAAATCGAGATCGCACATTACTTTCCTGCAAAATAGTGATTTCACGCTCTAATTCATTTCCACTTCTCTCTACTTTGAAGGCCTTCGATTTGGGGTAAAGATAGATCACTTTTAGAGTGTTGGGTTTTTCACATTTGATTTCCCATTTAAAAGAAAGGAGGCATAGTAAACTAACATACCAATGCAGGGATAAAGATGAATCCGTAGAGACAGAAGACTTTGACTAAGCCTGATGGTACAGAGACGTGATGAGAACCACAAATGATGTAAGAGCTACAATCGTTACATAACCGTAGAACACTCCTACAGACCACGTTACCAGATTAATGTCGCAGTTCCATTCTTGTTTCTTCAAGTTGTGTGCTACGTATGTAACAAATGTGAAGAAGTGTCAGATTGAGCTACTACATGGTTCTGCAATCTCTATAGGACTACGTTGACCATTAAACATTGTTATATTCTTTCAGGAACTTACCAAAGGAGTTGTACTTAAGATTTAATTAAGAGAAATAATTAATGCTTATAGTCAAGTAAAAGAATTATCTATATGAGACGTGTTTATGCAAACTATAAAACATGATTCAATGCTATGGGCGTGTTTTCCTTTTTCCAAAACTTTTAACCAAAGTGAACCGAAATTATAATTGAGATTAGAGAAGAGAATGCCTTTTGGAGATAAAGAACTGAACAGACGTACCTGCGGAAGAGGAATCTCTGCGGTAAATAGATCAAAATCATAATATCGATTCCATTGTAGTCGGTACCTCTGATAACTGAGAGTATCAACAGCGACCCATTATATGTTGTTCCTGCACAAACATAAATACAAATTCAGCTTTGAGAAATTTTAAATGCAAGATTATGGACGAACAAATCAGAAAGGGGTAAGAAGACAAACCTGCATAAGGTGACATCGGCGGCTGCTTCACCTGCAGTAACATTCAAGATCATAATGCGAGAATGATAGATGGGGAGGTTGAGAGAGCTGTGGTATTGCGTTCGATAACCACAACATCAGTGAAAACGCAGTCTTCTCAATCCCTTCGTGCATCCTATTACGGTCAGGTATACGATTTGGAGGCCCTTGGGGCTTCTATCTCTTCTCGGTCTCGTAATCTTTAGCGGCCACCGTCGATTGCATTTGTGGCTATCGCCGTGTTAGACGATCCGAATGGTCTGAAGCGTAGAGATGAGTCGGCGGATGTGTGTCGTATAAATAGTGATGTCGATTAGAGAAATCGTCGGCGAAGGAAACTGCAAAGGATATGGACTTTTGGATGAACCGATTATTAATCTTGAGTTTATTAGAAGAGATACGTTCTGAGGAAAAACGTAAAGGCAAAAATGTTGATTGCTTCGATGCTTTTTTATTTTATCGGGAAAAGCCACGTGGCATCTTTGGAAGAGTTTTTTCTTGCTGACGTGTGTGACCTCCTATTAGTTAGGATTATATAGTAGATTTGTTTTAAACGTTTACTATAATATTTACTTTGTAGACATAAAACTTTATTGTTTTGGTAGTGGAACAAACTTTAATACTTCCTCTTTGGAGATATTTGTAAAAAGAATTGGACAAAGACATAACTACACATTACCATTCTATTAAAATATCTTTCTAATTGTTTTTTATAACAAAAAGAAAAAGAATACTTGAATTTGCAAACTAATTCAAATCAGAAACAAAAGAAATTTCAACCATGTATGAGCAGACTAATGGAAGCAAGATCTTTGATCTTGTTATATACACGAAACTCAAATTTGATGTGGGAAACTAGGTTTTACACACGAGTGATTAACAACTATCGATGGTACGATCGTCCTAAGTTGGTTAATTCAAGTTTCAATTCTGGAAATTGCGCAC